AACAGCTCTTCACATCAATCACAGCCTGCCAGGTGTCACAACCTACATTAGCCCAGTCAAGAATGTATTCTTTCTAAGTTAGTCATCCCATCAATTTAGGAGAATAATAAATCCCCAATAGCATCCATCAGGAAAGTGTGATTATTGTCAGGAAACAGAGACCGTGGAGCATGTATTGCTACAGTGTGGGCAGTATCAGAGGGAAAGAGAGAGGATGAGATCTGGTATGAGGGAGAAGGGGATACAGGAAATTAGTTTAAAGAGTATATTGAGTAGAACGTCATTAGATATAGTCTGGAATATTTTGTTATCTTTTTTAAGAGCAATGGGGCTGGCAGGTTGGATTTAGTTTATCCTGTCTCTGGCCCACACTCCAGTACAGTAGGTGGCGTAAAGCACCATAACGTTGGATGCCAACCGCCGATCAGCCCCACTGAAGAAGAAGAAGATGCAACTACCGTACCGCGAGAGTTTGGACTTCTGCTTTTAAAGAGGATGAGTCTGAGTCGTATTTCACTGTTAGTTTTACACAACTAATTGTACATCTTCAGGTATTTTATTTAAGGTTTTGATGATGGGTGTACGGTTCCTTCATGCGTGTGCTTACTGTGACGCTGATATTGGCTACTTCCCACTCCATTGCTGGACAGCAGTGCTTGTCACGCGGGTTCGAAGGGCACTTTGTCCCGGTGTAGTTGCCGTTCATGCCCTCCCCATTGAGTAGTAGACTGTATGTATGTATCAAGGTTACATCTAGATGGTTATCAATATTTGTTATTTCTTGTGTAGGCTGCTATCCTACTTGAAATAAAATCATGTGTGAGAAAAAAAAAAGCCCATGATACCAAGTAGGATGCACTTCCAAGTCCGCAGGCACAACACCGGAGCACTGGTTTACTATGGACTCATAGTGACGCCCAATCAGTCACGCAAAACGGTATTGAGTGGCAAGAATCCTGGCCAATTAGCTGATTCACTTTCCATACACCCACTCCTTTCGACACACCCACTCGCCCATTATCCGGTCGCCATTGGGCTATAGTTATCCATACTTGAGCTAGCGCGAGCCAAACAACACTAAATTAAAATGGAGCCAGGACTGAACGTGGCCGGTACAAGAACATAACGTCGAGGTTTACAAGTGGGTTGAATTGTACGTTATTATCTACCCAAACGATACTTGTGTAGCATTATTTGTAAATGACTAGCTACATTTCAATACTGTTTCTGTTTGTATTAGCTAGCTAGCTAGGCGAAGCGCATGGTTGTGGCCTAGCTTGTTAGCTAACGTTACGCGTTATGCAATGACATCAGTTGCGGTTGATACAGCACGCTAATAAGCTAACTATGTTCCTAAACGTAAATTATTTAGCTTTAAACGAGTCCTTGTTTGTGCGTGCATTAATAATGCATGTTGTCTTTTGGTGATAGTTAGCTAACGTTAGTTAATCCCAGCAAGCTTCTAGTAACGGTAGTTAGCTAGGTTAATTTGCAGTGTCGTCGGTGTGTGATTCTTATAGAACTTCTGCGCTCAGTGCTGCTAGCTAGCAAGTTTGCTACAGTAAACACCAAGTGTTTAACTAAACTAGTTAGTCGATTTTTTTTCCCAATATTTGATTTATAATAATTAGCCATCAGACATGTCTCGTCGTTAGCTAGCATGGTAAAATGCTGTTTAATTTGGCCCCCGCGACCCACCTAGCTAGCACGCAATCTATCGTGTCGGATTTCTCAATGTACGCGGACTTCTTGCGACTTGTATTGGCGCTTTTTCCGTGTGGCAGCCACCTTAATGCGACTGTCGGGATTTGTATGATCCGAATGCAAAGTCGAGCACGTGGTGCGATGTGTAGCTATAAAATCGGTTGTCAAGAGTTAAGTAGTTCGTTGTTTTCTGTGAGGCCTGAAGAGCTACTCGGCATCGAGTTAGCACAGTCAGGGTGAAATTACGTTAGGTATTTGTTTATCCGTATCGTTGCAGCTAATTTAACGCTAGCTAGCTAACAATGTTGCATTGACCACCCCTCCCCCACGCGCCAACTGGGGTGGGTCTGGGAGTGTTTCTCCCCCCCCTTCTCACGTGGCTGTGTGCTGTGACCATGGTAAGGGAACAATCCGTGGTGGAGCTCTCATCCCAGCATCGTAGTTGTTAAGTAGTTTCTGTTGAGTCACTGCGTCTTCAAATCCAGACATTTCAAATTCCATCCATTCTGTGGGTGATTTTTTAAAAGTTTATTACGATATTTCCAAATTATATGGAGGGTAGGAATTATCTATAGGCCTGAAGTTACCACTCTGGCTTTTGTTTGCGCTCCATCTATTGTTGAGTTGTAATAATGTGGTTGGTCATTTTGCATTGCATTTGCTAACTATTAATGTGGTCCTTTGGAGCACAAGATACCGTTTCTATTCTGTGGTGTACCCTCTCCAACATTAAGTCAGATGAGCCACGCATATGAAAATGATCAGACCAATGAATGGGTTATTAAATGTTATGTGAAAGTTAATGTAATGTATGTTTGTCTGTCATTGAAACATGGGTCAGGGTGCACATTTAAAACTGAAGAACGGTTGTGTATCAGGCTACTTCTATTAAACCAAAGCTGTCCCCAGAGTTGTACCAATGTAATCAAGTAGATTTTGACCTGACGTTTTTGGTGTGGACAGAGTTCAGGAGGATTTTACAACCCAGTTCAGTGTGTCATCATGAAGATTATGATGCAGATGTTTGTTAGTTAATGCACGAGATAAATATGACCTACTGTATCCCAGACGAACCCAACAATAACTGCAGAAATTATGATTTATTTGAGTCACTCATGCTGTTGGAGGATAGTACCCATGTTTTTAATATGTTTGTTAAAATCAATTATCTTCTCACCACCATTATACAATTGCAACTTGGTTGGTTCTGTTTATTCTCAGACATGTTTTGAAGTTTGTGGTTGAAATTAGGTCCTCATGCTTGTGGTGGTGTCAGTGGAATTCAGGCCAGACTGATCATCTGAAACTTATTGAACATATCTAGCAAGCTGCTTTGATTGTGGGGAATATGTTCCACTATCAAACTTTTTTTGTTGACCGACTAGGTCAAAAAAAAATGTAACAATTTAGAATATGTAGTAACAAATGACCAATTAGGAATATTTTATTGAGCAATCTGTGGTTTGTCACTTTAGCTGGTGATATTGTTTATCATGCTACAAAGAGGGAGTGCTCAGGTGCTCAAAATAATAATTGAAATGCTACCTTTACCTGTCCAGTAAGTTAGCTGTTTTCAGTTCAAGGCTAGAATTATCATATTTTTGGGCAACAGTTGTCACAAATACTACATTATGTTACTCAGGGGAAAGAGCAGGCATTGTTTGTAACATGTAGGGCTACTTGTGTTTTGACAAGTGTGATTTGATCATGTAAACTACAACGTGGGATTTAGGTTTGTTTAGATTAGTCGTTAGTTGGGAATGGGACACACATATTTTGTTAATCTGAATGAAGTAGGGTGGGGCTGATAATGATTATCTAGCCTCTTTCTTGAGTACTCCCAAAATATTTAGTAACAAGTTGACTGTCTGTACCTTACACTGAACTTTATTAGCAGCTGTCACTATTTTGCCAACTTTATATATCTATAGCTCTGGATTAAGTGAACTATCATCATGATGCTATTTAACTAGGCAAGTCAGTTAAGAACAAATTCTTATTTACAATGACGGCCAAACCCGGACAACGCAATGTGTTGTGATGTATTGTGCTTTTCAAGACTGCATACTGTTGTCATTGCCGTACCCTCAAATACTTAAGTTTTATTCTGACTTCTTATCTACAGGTCCAAGATCCCACTACCAGGCCTGTGATGATTACTGATCAGAACCTGCTGTGAGCGGGAACTGAACACTTTCATCATCAGATAAGCCCCCAATCAGTGCCCCACCACTACAGAGCAGCAGGTAGGCTCATGTTTTATTCTGCGAAAGGACAAATGCCATGCACTCATTTGGTGCGTAATTTACGGCAGTTCCATTGCTTTTGTAAACAGTATTATTAGTTGTGTAAATTTAGGCATTTCAACAGAATAGGTTTGTCCCAGTAGTGGTGTTCTATTTTGTTCTTGTAAGAATTTGATGTCATTGCAGTATTTTTCCCAATTAGTGAAGTTCCTCAGATTTTCTGTGCTTCCAATATAATTTCCAATAGCAAATATTTTGTTATTGAGTTAAGAGCTGTCAATGAGCATCAAGGTGTGATAATATGGCATTGTAAAACCTGTGAATTTACAAATATTGTTCTGTGGGGTGGGGGGTTTAGAATGTTCATAACTTAGTTAAATGAAAATTCTGCTTCTGTAGTTTAGTAATCTTACCATGGTTTGCGGTTTAACAGGATCTAGGCCAGGGGTGGGCAAACTACGGGCCGCATCATGCACGCCAGCCAATTTTTTTTCTTTTTTTACTTTTATTTTATAAATGTGTCCTGCAAGGGATATATATACATGTTTTACCCTATTGTGTATAAAACTAAACTAAATAGAAAGTATGTAGAAATTGTAATGGACCCATTTTTTAAGACCTTCCCTATCTCCGACCTGCAAATTGATTTTGACGAACAAATCGGTCAAAAAAATTCTGGCCAACCCTCTGAATTTCAAAATCCCGATTGTGGCCCTCGAGACAAAATGTATTGCCCACCCTGATCTAGGCTAACAACTGTAGAGTTATCATAACTACAGCAGCCAGCCTGCTGTAGCCAGTTTGTGGAAAGGAGGAAAATTGATGGTATCAAAAGACTGCACTCGCTGACACAAACAAATCTGGATATAACATTTTTATCCATAAAAAGAAAGTAGTTGAACATGACAAAGTGCTGCTCCTACCACCCTCCCCAAAACAACCACACACTTCAGTTAAATGGAGTTGAAGAGTAGCTGTCTCACAGTTCGTCTCTTGTGCTCTTCTCTTAACTGTAGATATTCTGTTTGAAAGTAGTGAGTGACTCCATCTATGGAGGAGAATGTGAGTCCTGAGCTCTCTCTAGCTCCTGAGCCAGAGCAGAGCCAGGACCCTGTGGATAGCAGCTCTCAAGGTACCTTGGACTAGCTTCTTTTCCCTTGTCAATGAGGGGGATGTCATGATTGTCTCACTTTAATGGGCACTGCACTGCTGGATCCTCTGCAAATCTTTTGTAGGTTGTTATTTGGGGTGTAGGGTCAGGATTACTAGAATCATGATCAGCACAAGGGATTTCACTATTCCCTCATGCTTTGAATACCTAATCAGCTTACTATTCCATAAGTCTTTTGATTGGCAAAATCTGCTACTGTCCCTTAATGTGTGTCTTCCATCAACAGCTATTCTAGAGGACTATAAAGTTGAGAAGGAGGACGGAGAAGATAAGGAAGACCAAGAGCATGGTGACAATGATACTGAGGAAAATCTAGAGGACACAGAGCAATCTGCTAAAACCACAAGCAAGTTCAAGAAGACCTGGGGATTCCGTCTGACCACCATAGCCAAGAGAGAAATGCCTGGAGACACGGCTGCTGAGAGCCAGGATAGCCATGTAGGGCCTGTACGTCGCAGTGGGAGGCAGGCAAAACGCACTGACAAGCTAGAGGAGTTCCTGCTCACCACCAAGAGAGCGCGCACAGTAGGGAGGAGGAGTGCACCTGGCAGCATAGAGGGTGGGGACCCTCCCTCCCAGACCCCTACAGATGCGGAGACGGCCTCTGAAGCCAGCTTTGACGGCAACGCAGAGGCCAAGTCTGTGGACGATAAACCAGATTCCCCAGTGAGGAAGACGAGGAGCAGGAAGAGGACAACTCAGAAGGCTAAAGGCCGTGGCAGAAGCAGAGTTGGCTCGGTCAGTGATGATGGAAGCTCTGATAATGAGAAGTGTAGTGGAGATGCATCCAAAGAGCCCCGGGAGGAGGAGGAGAAGGGTAGTGGAGATGCATCCAAAGAGCCCCGGGAGGAGGAGGAGAAGGGTAGTGGAGATGCACCCAGAGAGCCCCAGGAGGAGGAGGAGAAGGGTAGTGGAGATGCATCCAAAGAGCCCCGGGAGGAGGAGGAGAAGGGTAGTGGAGATGCATCCAAAGAGCCCCGGGAGGAGGAGGAGAAGGGTAGTGGAGATGCACCCAGAGAGCCCCAGGAGGAGGAGGAGAAGGGTAGTGGAGATGCACCCAGAGAGCCCCAGGAGGAGGAGGAGAAGGGTAGTGAAGATGCTCCCAAAGAGCCCCAGGAGGTGGAGAATGGTAGTGGAGATGCACCCAAAGAGCCCCAGGAGGAGCAGCAGGACAAGAAGACAACCAGCCCTGAGAAGGACGATACAGTGCAGCCAGAGCTGGACTCTGTGAAGAAAGAGGAAGAGCAGGAGGAGAAAGAAAAACAGGGGAGCGTGGAGAAGCCCGTAGAGGACAGTGGCGAGCCTGCCTCCAGGTCCAGGAGTCCTGCCAAGGCAGCCAGTAGGGGGACCACCCCCAACAAGAGAGACACCAAGTCCAGAGGAGGGACAAAGACCCGCAACGACCAGGAGGAAGATGAGTCCTCATCCTCATCATCCAGTGACTCCGGCGATGATGAAGGATACGACCCTAATGCACTGTACTGCATCTGTCGACAGAAACACAACAAAAGGTATGCATTTGGATGTTATGTAATTAAGTTGGAAATCCGATGCCTCTAGTTCTTACAAATGCTCTGTCTGATCCTTCGTGGATTACTGAATGTGACAAAATTAATCTCTATTGTCCACCTACAAGGGGATGAGTGGTTAGTGATTAGTTAGCCTGAGTGATGTGCTTGACTTGTATAATATGCTTTAGCAGCGACTTTGTTCAACGTTGGTAACCCACTTTCTCCGACTGGCTGTTTTTACATATCTGTCTCTTTGTGCACCTAGGTTCATGATCTGCTGTGACCGCTGTGAGGAGTGGTTCCATGGAGACTGTGTGGGCATCACTGAGGCTCGTGGACGTCTGATGGAGAGGAATGGGGAGGACTACGTCTGCCCCAACTGCACCACCAAGAAGAGCCAGACGGCCAAGCCCAACGGCAAACCCAAAGCAGCTGCCCCCGGGGCCCTCAAGGCCGAGCAGAGCCCCTCTGTGGCGGCTCCCTCACCTACAGCCTCAGCTGGGGCGGAAGAAAAGGGTGACGACTTGGGGATCAAAGGGAGGATAGAGAAGACCACCAACCCCAGTGGGAAAAAGAAGATCAAGATCTTTCAGGCGGTAGGTTTCTGTTACTTTTATCACAGCCCTAGTGAATGAACTCAATAAATGACCTATTCAGCCTTATGTCATGCCAATAATAGCTTACCGAAAGACGTCTGAGAGCACCATATTAGGGATGGGCGTGAGTACTCGATTCAAGGTTTGTATTTGGTTACTAATAATTGAAAACAAGCACTCGAAATGTATGAGCACAGATGTGTTTGTTTGTAGAGAATGTCAAATGTAGTGAAAATAGGTTTCCTTTTCAGTTGTTTATCAGAACAACCAGTAATTGGAACAACCGATGGCATACCACAAACTTAAATAATTGAGTATACAAACAGACTTTCTTTCAAATGCCCATCCCTACGCCATATGACAATTTGTATATTATCATCCCTGACACTTTTGCCTGTACAAGAATCCGTCTGTGGCATTGTCTGTGTTGCACTGTGCACCTGTGTGACCTGTTTGAGTTTCAACAGGCGGCGGAGGAGTCTAAACTGCCAAAATGCATCGGGCCAGGCTGTGAGAAGACCGCCCTGAAGGACTCTGTCTACTGCGGCAGCGAGTGCATCCTGAGACACGCCGCCGCAGCCATGGCAGCCAAGTCAATCTCTGAGCCCAAGCAGAAAGATCAAGACAAGGCCAAGGGACAGAAAAAAACACCTGGTGCCAGGGCAACGACCAAGGTAAACAAAGGGTTTATAAGATACCAAAGATGTTTACATTTTCACCTATTGTTCTGGAGAGTTGTGAGAAACCTTTCACTGAGTGTATTGGAACCAGTTCACTGGTTAGTAATACATTGTGTGGAGCACAAATTAAGGGCAATATATATTCCAATGTTTTGAAATACGTTTTCTAAAATGTACACAATTCTTATATTACTCTATGAAATTGAGTGTGAATATCTTATTGCCAATGACTATCGGGCTATACACCAGGCCAGATTTTGTTCTGAAATATCTGAATTATTATAGTGAAATTACATGAAATAATGTTTGTTTACTTGCTAGATTGTTATTTTGTCTGAGTCATTGGTAACAAACATTCATTGCAAGATTGGTGATTGATTGCATCAGCAGGAACTACAGAACAGAATTCTGGTCTGAGGAACATCTGGAGGAGGGACGGGGCGACATTGCCCCAGGAGAAATACAGTGCCTTCAGAAAGTATTCATACCCCTTGACTTGTTCCACATTTTGTTGTTACAGCCTGAATTCAAAATTGATCACAAAAAAATGCTCACCCATCTACACAATACCCCATAATGACGAAGTGAAAACATGTTTTTAGAAATTTTAGCAAATGTATTAAATTAAAGTATAGATGTCTCATTTACATAAGTATTCACACCCCTTTGCTATCACACTCCAAATTGAGCTCAGGTTAGAGGCCTTCTTGGGTGCAAAAAGTTGCGCCCGTTCCGAAATGGCCCTGGGGCTTTCCCATCCGGACCCGATATGCATAAATAAATAAAAAATTATGTAGAGATCTGCTCCGAACGGACATGAGGACAACTAGACACGTTCCGTATAGACCTGGTTGGGTCTGATCCGAGTCAGGGAAGCAGCAGAAAAGTCCATTTTTGAGCTACTTTATTAACCGGAGCTGATAAAGCACGAGGTAGAAAGTGGTGACACTCTAGCAGGGGCTGTGCTGTGTGTGTAGGCTACTGTGAGAGTGAGCAAGTGACACAGTGCAGGGAAGGAGAGATGGCAACCAACCAAGCAGACTTGCGCTGTAGTAGACGAATAGCTGCCATAGCTAGGATATTTCATTCTATATGATTACGTAGTTACCTGTCTTGACTGCATCAAACCGGAAGAAGCTACTCCATTCAGAATATTAAGTAGTAGCCTACCTGTTGGCTCTTGGTCTTTGTAGCCTATCCTTTAACTTTTAATTCCATCTTCCATTGATTTAGATAGCTCGTAACTTTTGCCATTTTCATGACTTATGATTGGCCAACAACCTATGCTCGCCACACGTGAAAAGCAAGAGCAGCAGCATAAATTATAACATTTCTCTCTCTCTACTGCAGCAGTCACGTTCGGATCTGTACGGGTCCTTCCGGACAAGTCAGTTACACATACCCATGACAATCAGATCAGACCCGTGACATTATTTATAATTCTGGCTCCGGACCCTCTCGGGTATTTGGGCAGAGGTGGATCCGTGCTCTAGCTCAGGTGCATCCAATTTCCTTTGATCAACTTGATTGGAGTCCACCTATGGCCAATTCAATTGTTTGAACATGATTTAGAAAGAAAAGCACCTGTCTATATAAGGTCCCACAATTGACAGTGCATGTCAGAGCAGAAGCTATACCATGAAGTCCAATGAACTGTCCGTAGATCTCCAAGATAGAATTGTGATGCGGCATATATCTGGGGAAGGGTATAAAACAATTTCTAGAGTGTTGAAAAATATGGAACTACCCAGACTCTGCTTAGAGCTGGCAGTCCGACCAAACTGAGCAACCGGGTAAGAATAACCTTGGTCAGGGAGGTGATCAATGACCAATCTGACAGAACTACAGAGTTCTTTGCCTGAGATGGGACAACAGTCTCTGGTGAAGTCCTGTAATCTGGGCTTTATGGGAGAGTGGCCAGACGGAAGGCATTCCTGAGAAATAGAGAACCAGGCACAGCTCATCACCTGTCTAACACATCCCTACCGTGAAGTATGGTGGTATTAGCATCATGCTATGGGGATGCTTTTCAGCAAGACTGGTAAGGATAGAGGGAACAATGAATGGAGCCAAATACAGGCAAATCCTTGATGAAAACTTGTTTCTGAGTGCAAACAACCATGGACTTGGGCGAAGATTTACGTTCCATCAGGACAATGACCCCAAGCATACAGCAAAAGCAATGCTGGAATGGATACAAACATACTCAAAGCTGTAATCACCGCCAAAGGTGTTTCTACGAAGTGTGAATACTTATGTAAATGAGATTCTGTATTTAATTTTCAATTAACTTGCAGAAATGTCTAAAAACATGTTTTCACTTTGTCATTATGGGGTATTGTGTGTAGATGGGCGAGAGGGGGGAAAAATACATATTTAATCCATTTTGAATTCATGCTGTAAATGTGGAATAAGTCGAGGGGTATTAATACTTTCTGAAGGCCCACATTTGATTGTTATTCAATTGCTATTTAATCTATTCAACAGTGTCTAATAAATTACCAACGACTCAAATTATTCACTAAATTGTTTTTTTCCTTCCAATGTAATGAATTAGCAGCAATTTACATTTTGACATTATTGATATGCATATGCTGGGGTTCATTTGCATTTTTTACATGCATACGTGAGTTGAGGTCAATGTCAGACTTTGATCATGAAGTATTTTATTGAGCCTAATATGCACAAACACACCACAGGGGAAATTGATTTAAACTTATGCTCACATAAATAATATGAATAACCTTGTTCCTCAATTCTAATATAAACTTAACAAAAATATAAATGCAACATGCAACAATTTAAAGATTTTACTGAGTTACAGTTCATATAAGGAAATCGGTCAATTTAAATAAATTCATTAGTCCCTAATCTATGGATTTCACATGACTGGAAATACAGATATGCATTGGTTGGTCACAGATACAGTGCATTTGGGAAAGTATTCAGACCCCTTGACCTTTTCCTCATTTTGTTACATTACAGCCTTATTCTAAAATGGATTAAATTGTATTTTTTCCTCAATCTACACACAATACCCCATAATGACAAAGCAAAAACAGGTTTATAGAAATTTTAGCAAATTTATAATACAGAAAAAAAACATATCTCATTTATGTAAGTATTCAGACAGACCCTTTACTCAGTACTTTGTTGAAGCACCTTTTGCAGCGATTACAGCCTCCAGTCTTCTTGGGTATGACTACAAGCTTGGCACACCTGTATTTGGGGGGTTTCTCCCATTCTCTGCAGATCCTCTCAAGCTCTGTCAGGTTGGATGGGGAGCGTCGCTGCACATCTATTTTCAGGTCTTCAGAGATGTTAGATCGGGTTCAAGTCCGGGCTCTGGCTGGGCCACTCAAGGACTTTCAGAGACTTGTCCCGAAGCCACTCCTGCGTTGTCTTGGCTGTGTGCTTAGGGTTATTGTCCTTCTGGAAGGTTCTCCCATCTCCACAGAGGAACTTTGGAGCTCTGTCAGAGTGACCATCGGGTTCTTGGTCACCTCCCTGACCAAGGTCCTTCTCCCCCGATTACTCCGTTTTGGCCGGGCGGCCAGCTCTAGGAGGAGTCTTGGTGGTTCCAAACTTCTTCCATTTAAGAATGATTGAGGCCATTGTGTTCTTGGGGATCTTCAATGCTGCAGACATTTTTTGGTACCCTTCCCCAGATCTGTGCCTCGGCACAATCCTGTCTCTGAGCTCTACGGACAATTTTTACGATCTCATAGCTTGGTTTTTGCTCTGACATGCACTGTCAACTGTGGGACCTTTATATAGACAGGTGTGTGCCTTTCCAAATCATGTCCAATTTACCAAAGGTGGACTCCAATAAAGTTGTAGAAACATCTCAAGGATGATCAATGGAAACAGGATGCACCTGGAGCTCAATTTTGAGTCTCATAGCAGAGGGTCTGAATAATTATGGAATTTTCTTTTATATTTTATAAATGTGCAAAAATGTCTGTTTTCCCTTTGTCATTATGGGGTATTGTGTGTAGATTGATTTTTATTTATTTAATACATTTTAGAATAAGGCTGTAATGTAACAAAATGTGGATAAAGTCAAGGGGTCTGAATACTTTCCGAATGCAATGTACCTCAAAAAGAAGTAGGGGCGTGGATCAGAAAACCAGTCCATCTGGTGTGACCATCATTTTTGTCATGCAGCGCGACACATCTCCTTTGCATTGAATTTTGATCAGGCTGTTGATTGTGGAATGTTTTCCCACTCCTCTTCAATGGCTGTGCAAAGTTGCTGGATATTGGTGGGAGGAACTGGAATACGCTGTCGTACACGTCGATCCAGAGTGTCCCAAACATGCTCAATGGGTGACATGTCTGGTGACTATGCAGGCCATGGAAGAATTGGAACATTTTGTAGATTCCAGGAATTGTGTACAGATTCTTGCGACTGGGGCCGTGCATTATCATGCTGACATATGAGGTGATGGCGGTGCATGAATGGCACAACAATGGGCTTCAGGATCTCGTCACGATACAAGTTGCAGTCGATAAAATGCAATTGTGTTCGTTGTCTGTAGCTTATGCCTGCCCATAACATAGCGCCACCGTGGGCCACTCTGTTAACAACGTTGACATCAGCAAACCACTCGCCCTCACGACGCCATGCATGCAGTCTACCATCTGCCCGGTACAGTTGAAACCAGAATTCTTCCATGAAGAGCACACTTCTCCAGCGTGCCAGTGGCCATCAACAGTGAGCATTTGCCTTCTGATGTCAGGTCAAGACCTTGGTGAGGACGACGAGCACGCAGATGAGCTTCCCTGAGATGATTTTTGACAGTTTGTGCAGAAATCCTTCGGTTGTCCAAACCCACAGTTTCATCAGCTCTCCGGGTGGCTGGTCTCCGTCCATTCTGCAGGTGAAGAAGCCGGATGTGGAAGTTCTGGGCTGGCTGGGTTACACGTGGTCTCCTCTTGTGAGGCCGGTTGGACGTACTGCCAAATTCTCTCAAGCGATGTCTGAGGCGGCTTATGGTAGAGAAATTGACTTTCAATTCTCTAGCAGCTCTGGTGGACATCCCTGCAGTCAGCATGCTCCCTAAAAACTTGAGACATCTGTGGCATTGTGATGTGTGACAGAACTGCACATTTTAGTGGCCTTTTTTTGTCCCCAGCACAAGGTGCACCTGTGTAATGATCATGCCGTTTAATCAGCTTCTTGATATGCCACACCTGTCAGGTGGATGGATTATCTTCGCAAAGAAGAAATGCTCACTAACAGGGATGTAAACAAATGTGTGCAGAACATTTGAGAAAAGTAAGCTTTTTGTGCATAATGGGACATTTCTGTGATCTCTTGTTTCAGCTGGTGGGACCAACAGTTTAGATGTCTATATTTTTGTTCCCTATACATCCTGCATTACACAAAACAAACATTTTGCTTATGGGACCCTTCCTGTGCCCTGTTACTGATTTTTGATTGAATGTCTGTTCATCCAGAGGAGTTCCACCACCGGAAGGAAGACCAGCAAGAAGTCCACAGAGGAGGAAGAGTCTGACAGTGAGGATGACGAGAAGGATGGTGATGAAGAGCAGCATGCAGAGCAGCAGCCACCGCCACCCACCATGTCGTCCTGGTCCAGCGACCATAATTACAATGCAGTAACGCCAGAAAAGACTACACCCATAGCACCACCAACAGTGTTAAACAAAACGTGTATGTATCTCTTTGAAGGTCTTAATAATCCACTCTTAACCATTTGTCTTCTCACACTGTAGGGGTTGTCAAGTGAGCCATCTGAATGTATATTCATCAATCTATTACGGGTTCTTAGAAAAAAACACATTGTTTTCCCATTTTATAAATGTGGTTATCATGGCAACGTAGTGCCTTAGATCAGGGGTGTCACATTTTTAATGGATGGCCTAGTGTCTGGGTTTTGGTTTTTCCTTTCAATTAAGACCTAGACAACCAGGTGAGGGGAGTTATTTACTAATCAATCACCTTTAATTCATCAATCAAGTACACTCGGGCCTCCGTGGAATGAGTTTGACACGTGCCTTAGGTTAATGACCCAGATCTATGGGGAAAGCACTAATGACAATGGGTCCCCAAATGTATTTGTAGTATGTTACAAGGTCATGGTTACTTAGTCAGGTATACAGAGCTGCAGAGTGGGTAAGTACACATTGCTGTGAGTGGATACAAACATGACTATTTTAGGATTTATTTTGAAAGCCGTATTGTCAAAAGAAAATCAGTAACCATGAACAAAGCTATGATTTGGGTATTATTTAGGATGTAAATTCATAAATCTTAGGTTACTGTGTGAAAATGTGTGTTGGCACTGATGGTGTGTGTGAAAATCTCCACGTGCTCCTCTCCAAACTGCTGTTCATCTAGAGGCAGTCCCTCATCTCTCGAGCAGGTAGGTCTCCGTGGCTTTTTATCCCTGGATTTATACAGAAATACAGCTCACACTGCTGATGAATTAATCTATGTCTATTCAGTGCAGCCAAGGAAGTATTCACGGTTAGCTTTGTGAATAGTGTGCTGTTATTTCAAAATTTTGCATTATTCATATTGAATGTCATGCATCCAAACTCCCTCTGGGGCACTGGCGATAAAATAAAAGGTGTTAAGACAGATTTTTGGATGCCTTGATTGATTATATGAGGGGTCTCGGATTACTAAGGATGTCCTGGCCAGTTGCTCTCAGACAGCATGTGCCACAGATCTACACGCCACGAGAGGAAGTGAAAGTCTGAAGTGGACAGACTCGGAACAGCTGGAACAGGAAAGCTATTGTTTCTTCCACTGAGACAAGACCCGCTGAAGACACTGCACAGAAGTATTAGATGACTGTACGAGAAGAGTGGAACACCGGAGTCATCAACTAAACATAAAGAGCAGCGAGGCAGACCATTATCACCTCAGTTCTACCACACTTCTGTTTTACTGATATAAAATTGTTGAAAGCTATTTAGGGGCAATTGAGAGTATTATTTGCAATGAACTCTGCTTTGGTTCAAAGTTTTATCCAGGTTACTAATTTTGAGGGGAGTAATTAGACAGAGGTTGTGGATATTTTTGAATGTGAGTGCAGAGTCTCTAGGTATTTTAAATGTGGGTATTTGCATTGGTAGTTCATGACCTCAGGAATCAGCTTATCTGCATAATACCAGCTGCCTGTTCCTCATGTATCGGGGGAAATGCCATATGTGATTCACTCATGACCTGCTTGCATGCCTAGTATCCTCTCAGATCTCCAATATATTATTTTGCAGACATACAAGTTCTGATTGACATTTTGATAGTTTGACAAGTTTTTTTGTGTGCAAATCAGTCACATTGAAATTGCTATTGCTGCCCGTTTGTCTAAATGGGTCTTGTTTGAAATCTGTGTGTATGAACATGCATATTGGTTATTTAAAAGAATGCAAGTGATCATTATTGTACAGGTAAGAACAGGTTTAGTAGTTTGGGCTAGAGGTGAATTGTCTGTGCCTTTGGCTCAATGAGCAATTGTGTAATTGGCGATGGCAGTATTTTCTGCTGATGGCACTCACAAGTATTTGCTGTTTTGAACGTACAGCCAGATTCCTCATACTTTGGTAATGAGCAACACAAACGAGGCAGAAAATATTTATCCGCTTTAACAAAGCTATGACTAATATTGATGCCCATATTTGGACATAGTAAGTCATACAAAAGCAATTGGTGCTAGTATTGTCATGCACAACCAGTGCCTCTGGGGAAAGATGTTGCATTGATCTTGAATTGTTTTTATTGAATTGTTGAGGTTAATATTCCTTGAATATAAATAGTTTGTCTTTATTGAATGCTCATTAGATGTGTGTACACCTGAAGGTAGATGGTATTGTTAGAACATCCCTAGTTCTGTGTGCTGGCCTCACAGCACTATGAATTTTCAGTGGTGAAAATATCAGATTTGGGGTGGGAAGTATGAAGATATGTAGAAGGAGATGAACGTTCAGACATTCTTTGCCCAGACATGGTAAGTTACAAGTTTAGTTGAACTATTGGTTGGGAAGCGTTGGTTGTTTTCTGGCCACTTGATACAGTGGGTCAACTGTTGGGATCTTCAAAGACCAGACAAAGGGAGATTCACATCCTAATGGAATCTAATTTTAGTTTTGTGGAGACCCCTGTACCCAGTGACTTTCCAGGCAGGTTTTTTTGTGTGTTTTTTGTTTTGGCTCATCTATTATCTGTTAATGTCTGATGGGTTGTTGATTGGGGTCCAGTGCTGTAGCTCAGGAGCTAATGTTAAATGGTATGCAGGAACCATTCATACTGTTGCTTTTTTGCTCATTTAGTGCACATGCCTGGGAGCATTTAGTACATCGATCCCCTTCTGATAACACTGAAGTGGTGTCTCGCCTACATTCTTCATGAAGAGGATCACCACCATTTGAACTAATGTTGAGAAGATTGTAATTGCAACGCTAACAAATTGGCTCCTTTACACATTAATTTTATATCATTTTTAGCCAGAGAATAAAGATTTCCAAGTTCTGTCTGTTTTATATATGTTTAACCCATTTTATGTGCGTGCTTATGGTTGGCTTTCTCAGTGTGTGGAAATATGTATTTTAAGCAGGTTTATTTTGTGTTTCAAATGTCAAGGTATTTATTTCTAGATCCAACAAAGGGAGGAGGTCCCGTCTTCAATATTTTGTGTGCATTGTGGTCATGTCTGGCAGTCAGTCATTAAGTTAATCTAAGATCACATTGCATATGCCTACATGTCCTGAATTCAATTTAATGTACATGTTTTTATGATGGTTCATATACTCTTTCTATTTGTTTTTAATGCAAGTTGTTTTATTCTCCACAGCTCCTTTAGAGGAGAGTGACGAGGACCAGAGTGAGAAGGAACCAACCCCTTCTGAGAAGAAGTCCCCTGCTTCCACAGCGCCACTCAAAGGAGGGAAGAAGTCCCCTGGCCCCAAATTATTAAAGATATACACCAGACGCAATAAACCAGCAACTCCAGGCAGCAGTGCTAAGGCACCAAAGAAACAACCACCCCCCCCTCCTAACAAAACAACCAAATCCAAGAAACCACCTCCACCACCTGCTGTCCTGACCCCTTCTGCCCCTGGTTCTTTAGACGCTCCACGACATCACGTCACAGGAGCCCTGAGGGTCGGCAAGTCCAGCTTTACCATCCCTAAAAAGCAGGCCCAGCCCCAGCAGAGGGACTCCTCAGGCCGTAGTCCGAACAGAGTCGCATCCTCAGCCCCTTCCTCCCGACACCATGAGCCAGGCGCTTCTGGACCTTCCATGATGTGCCCAACGGCTCCGCCAAACAACCAGATGAGACAGAACATCCGCCGCTCGCTCACAGACATCCTCTACAGGAGGTGAGTATCCCAGAAGTCCTAGACCTAGACTGATCCAGGTTTCGAGAGAATGGCTTGTATTGTCTCGAACTTCATGCAAGGTCATTAATCTGATTTAGGGATTCAATGTAGAATTTTAAAAAGAGAATGCTAAGACATTGTTGTAGTCCAATGGGAAATACATTGTCCCCACATCTTTACAACTGCATTGTCTTGAAATGTGTATGTGACCAATTAAATGTATTGTCCCACCAGGGTGAGTGACAGTGATGATTTGAACATGTCTGAGAACGAGGTGGGAAAACTGGCGGTCAGCATTGAGAAGGAGATGTTCAACCTGTGCCTTTGCACGGACAGCAAGTACAAGAACAAGTACAGGTCCCTCATGTTTAACCTGAAGGACCCCAAAAACAAGGTGAGTCCACAGGTGTCTGCAGAAGTGACTAGTCAAGCGATAAGTTGTGTAGGCTAAACCAAATATGGTAAATGTTGGAAAGCCATGTACATGTAACTGCCAAAAACCGTAAATACCAACATAAAGTGTCTTAATAGGGCGTTGGGCAACCACAAGCCAGAACAGCTTCAATGTGCCTTGGCATAGATTCTACAAGCATCTGGAACTCTATTGGATGGATGCAACACCATTATTTATTCTACGAGAAATTAAATTTGGTGTTTTGTTGGTGTTGGAAAACACTGGCTCAGGCGCCGCTCCGGAGTCTCCTATAAGTGTTCAATTGGGTTGAGATCTGGTAATTGAGATGGCATATGGTTTACATCGTTTTCATGCTCACCAAACCATTGGGACCACTCGTGCCCTTTGGATGGGGTCATTGTCATTTTATGGGGGCGTAACCATGGTAGCCAAAATAACTGGGCCTGCCCAACATTTTTATACCTAAGCATGATGGCACCTGCTTTCAATATATCCCTCATTTACTCAATTGTTTCCTTTTTTGGCAGTTACCTGTACATTTGAATGACAACTCGTCTTTCTACATTTATAGTATTGCGTTGTTGGTATGTGGGTGAATTGATCGTGAGTCATGTATTCAATTTAAATGAAATTACTGAACACTTAAATTATGTTCACTCCAAGCCAGATGTGCCAGGTGAGTAAACGGTGTGTTGTGCTTGTCTCAGGGCCTGTTCTACCGCGTGGTCTGGGGAGAGGTCAGTCCCTTCAGGCTGGTGAGGCTGAGTGCAGATGAGCTACTCTCCAAAGAGATCTCAGAGTGGAGGAAGCCTGACACCACTGAGGTAAGAAGGACCTTCTCTGTTGACCTATTAGAGATCATGATAATGAAACCAATAATTATATAGACAACAGAGCAATACTAGGAATTGTATTTATTGCGCAACTAAATATCACTACTAAAGAGACCATATCATTAGCCTAATATTCACATACTGTATTATTGTTAGACACTGTAAATGTTCAACAAGGCATGCATCCAAGTTGATGACCTCCATTGTATCCCATAGGCTCCCAGTGCTAGATCCCAGACAGGGCAGTCTAAATCGGGCCATAGGCTTGATGCTGGCCCCCCTGATGTGGACATGGAGGACGCTCCTCCAATGTCTGATGGAGATGTATGTAACTCTGGCACCTCTCCATCTCTTCGCATGGCTTTTGCTGCAGTAAGTGGTGGCTTTCTCACCCTTTCTCTTTCACTTCCACTTGTCTTTCATCTTCATTTTCCTTGCATAAGACGAGAACCATGTTGTGCTGGGTGGTTAACATGTGGGTAATATATTGTGGTTTTACAGTTTAATTCTCTTGCCAACCTGTCCCATACCACTTTAAACTGTCCCTTTGTCCTACTGAAGCTCACTGCCATCCGCCCCGTGCATCACTCAAATCACGATTCACGCCCACTGTGCATCAATGTAGCTATCGTTTTAGAGATTATCTAATGATTCATGTATCAGAATACTTTGTTTCCAAACAAACGGTTGCTCAGAATATTTTTGCCATTCAGGACATCAGCAAATTTGGTTATGGTTTGATGTGCTATTTGAGAATCCATTGTCAGTTTGTAGTTTTGACTGTCTCTCTGTTTTCCTTTTACAATGTGTTCAGGAACAAGAGGAAGCTAGCTCCACTCCCTCTTCTGGCTCTGTTCAGGCTGGGGTGAAAAGTGGCAGTTCCCTGCCAGACATCTTCAGCATGATGCGGGACACCACAGCTGAACACAGGGCCCACCTCTTTGACCTCAACTGCAAAATCTGCACAGGTAAAGATGAATGAAAATAATGAGTTTTGATGGCATGCAAGAAACGGTGGCATAAAAACTTTGCCCGTACCTGAATTCCCCTCAAATATCTTCATTCTTATTACTCCATGCTTAACTTTGATTAGTGGATTTGAAGGTTTAGAAGGTTTAAGTAACCTCTGTCTCCCCTCTTCCAGGCCAGAAGTCTGCAGACGATGAACCAGCAGCCAAGAAGGCCAAACTCTCCAAGAAGCCTGAGGTGAGGCGCTTGTCCAGGTCCTCCTCAGGTGAAGGCGCCCCGGTCTCTTATCCCGGCAGTGAGACGCCAGTCCCTGAGACCCTGCCCTACCAGGAGGACACAAGCATCCTGTTACCCCAGACCCCAGCCCCTGTCACCGCACCAGCCATCTCCTCTGTCAGCATCACCCGCAGAGACCCCCGCATGGCAAGACACAGCTCTGGAGTGACGGTCACCCACTCTGCCCCAGACACATCCATGGTAGCACCTATCTCAACAGATACCTATTCAAGACCCATTCCAACAGAGTCCTATTCAAGACCTATCCCAGCAGATGCCTATTCAAGACCAGCTATCTCAGTAGAGCCTGCTCCGGTTGCAGTGATGGAGGTGGTGCCCAAGGGGCCTCTGCCCATGCCCCCGGCTCCTCCACCCTCCATCCCCAGGCCCGTCATGCAGAAAGCTGCCTTGTCCAGAGCCTCCTCCAGAGGGCGAGACCGCCATCTTCCTCCATGGCCAGGAGATGATGTGGAAAGGATTAGTCAACATGCACACTGTGGCCAAGTTTGTCACTAAGGCATACCTGGTCTCAGGATCCTTTGAGCACCTGAAAGAGGTTGGTTATTCATTTGTTAGAAAATATTATGTCACTGGTAGTTGTAGTTTTTTTACGTGAGCTAAGAAAAACCACACATTGTAAAATGAATAACTCGGAGACCGACAACATAACTGTTATATTTGATCATAATGAAACTTTCACAACATTTTGGCCAGAAAACATGGATTACTTACAGTGCCTTCAGAAAGAATTCACACCCCTTGACTTTTCCACATTTTGTTGTGTTACAGCCTCAATTTAAAATTGATTAAATTGAGATTGTGTCTCACTGGCCTACACACAATACCCCATAATGTCAGTAGAAATATGTTTTTAGACATTTTTACAAATTAATTAAAAATGAAAAGCTGAAATGTTTTGAGTCAATACGTAATTCACCCCTTTTGTTATGGGAAGCCTAAATAAGTTCGGGAGTAAACATGTGCTTAAGTCACATAAATTGCATGGACTCACTCTGTGTGCAATAATAGTGTTTAACATGATTTTTGAATGACTACCTCCTCTCTGTATCCCACACATACAATTATCTGTAAGGTCCCTCAGTGAAGCAGTGGAATTTCAAAAACAGATTCAACCACAAAGACCAGGGAGGTTTTCCAATGCCTCACAAAGAAGGGCACCTATTGGTAGACTGGTAAATGTTTTCTAAAAAGCAGACATTTAATACCCCTTTGAGCATGGTGAAGTTACTAATTACACTTTGGATGGTGTATCAATACACCCAGTCACTACAAAGATACAGGTGTCCTTCCTAAGTCAGTTGCCGGAGAGGAAGGAAACCGCTCAGGGATTTCACCATGAGGCCAAGGGTGACTTTAAAACAGTTAGGTTTAATGGCTGTGATAGGAGAACACTGAGGATGGATACAAATATTAGAAAACATGCCTCCTGTTGGCAATAAGGCACTAAAGTAAAACTGCAAGAAATGTGGCAAAGAAATTAACTTTATGTCCTGAATACAAATCATTATGTTTGGGGCAGGTCCAACACATCACTGAGTACCACCCTTCATATTTTCAAGCATGGTGGTGGCTGCATCATGTTATGGGTATGCTTGTCATCGGCAAGGACTAGGGAGTTTTTTAGGATAAAAAGAAACGGAATAGAGGTAAGCACAGGCAAAATCCTAGAGTAAAACCTGGTTCTGTCTGCTTTCCAACAGACATTGGAAGACAAATTCACCTTTCAGCAGTACAATAAACGGAACACACAAGGCCAAGTATACACTGTTGCTTACCAAGACGACATTGAATGTTCCTGAGTGGCCTAGTTGCAGTTTTGTGTTAAATCGGCTTGAAAATCTATGGCAAGACTTGAAAATGGCTGTCTAGCAATGATCAACAACCAATTTGACAGAGCTTGAATAATTAGCTCATATTGGACAATCCAGGTGTGCAAAGCTCAGACTTATTTTCAATAAATTAGCAACAATTTCTAAATATGTTTTCACTTTGTCATTATGGGGTATTGTGTGTAGAAAATATTGAATCAATTTTGAATTCAGGCTGTAACAACAAAATGTGGAATAAGTCTAGGGTTATGAATACTTTCTGAAGGCACTGTACTTGTTTGAACTGGTTGTAAATATATGGTAATAATGTCATCTGAGTTGAACACAAAGGTGACATTGTTAATCCTGTACAGGATCTGCCTGACACCATCCACATTGGAGGCCGAATCTCCCCCAGCACCGTGTGGGACTACGTGGGGAAACTAAAGACATCTCTGTCCAAGGTAAAGCTTCCACCACAGTCTAATAATGTGAGGTATTTATATACAACCTACTTCCTGGTTGAGGACCCTAAGGTCACACCCCTCTCTTTGTGTTTGCCCTCTCTCCAGGAGCTGTGTCTGATCCGGTTCCATCCAGCCACAGAGGAAGAGGAGGTGGCCTACGTCTCTCTCTTCTCTTATTTCAGCAGCAGGAAGCGCTTTGGAGTGGTCGCCAACAACAACCGCCGCATCAAAGACCTGTACCTCATCCCCCTGAGCTCCAAGGACCCCCTGCCCTCCAAACTGTTACCTTTCGATGGGCCAGGTAAGCATCTGCGGGGAGACGCACAGAGGCCTCTGATAACCCTAACACCCAAACACTGGTTTGAATATTATGTGCCAAATTCTCTATACCTCAAGACAATTAAGTTAGGCATAATGTCAGTCGATTGTTTTGTCCAGAGTGGTCAGTATGTTCAGGATTTAGTTAATTTACTTAGTTTTCCTTTGTGTGAAATGAGAGCTTGTTTCATGAAGTTGATTTATGATATACACTGTAGGGGGTGAGCATGTGCTTCTGCTGTTGCTTGCCTTCCTCCATGAACATCCCTCTGTACTTTATCTATGCCCTCAGTGTACTCTGTGTATATTACCTTGTATCACACGTCTGTCTTAAATAAAGGATGTTGTGCATCACAGGTTGGTGCGGCCTTAGATGTCAGTCTCAGCCTATTGTTTTTAAGGCTTAGCTTTTATTCTGTAGATACTGGTGTGAAATGTTTGGGTAATGATGGTGTTTCTGAAAATGACATCTGCCACAGTGTGTTACATTTAAATTACTCCTCACTGCAACTTGGTGTACTGTGTTAGTGGATCTACCTGCATCTCCAGTACCCACACATCATAACTGAATGGGCAGCACCTGACCTGCACCTAGTCCATCCCAAACCACAAACTGAAAGCCATGGTAAGTTATTATGAGAGAGGTCTAGCTTGGAGAGCCTTGGACAGAGATGGTTCTACTCATGTTGGGGTTTTAAAGAAGATGAAGACGAGAAGAATCTATGGCTCTCAAACACTTACTGAATTTAAGAAACAAGAAACACTTAAGCATCCAGATAATTAGTTGTCAGCAGAGGTTGGATTAGTATGTGTCAATTTAAAAACTTTGCATATAAGATGAGTGGAATGCACTGTACAACACATTGTCCTTTTTGATATAGAATAGTAAAGAATGTGGAAATGTCCACTAATATTGACGAGTGACTTCATGAAAATGCATACTAATGACAATCTAGCAAGATGAGAAGCTTAGTGAAAGTGGCGAATGTGAGTTTTTGTGTACCTGCGAAGTGTGATGTTAGATCAACAGAAACATGCAGTCTAATGCAGTGCACAGACAGTCACACTTCTCAAAGTATCATGGGGAGTTTAAGACTGCTCAGCAGTGTGATGACTAAGCACTCATATAAAGGTTGTCTGTAGCTTACAATTCTTGTTGGTTTTCGTTTGAAACATGAATATGATAATTTAATGGTTATACTTTAAGCTGAATATACAGGTGGCATTTTGTGCTCATATTATTTATTGTTAGAACAATTCAAAATGGAAAGTGAAGACCACAGCTTGTGGCTTTAAATCAACACACCTTTTTGTGATCGGTTTTGGTTTGTTGTGATCTGTGTGATTCCCGGTCTCTGTGAAATCCTCTTGTCTGTTTCTGTCATAGCATCGGGTGTTTGAAACAAGCTCTCATTTCACAGTTTCACTTCAAACAAATTCTATCTCTGGAAATGTTAGTCATTTAGCAGACAAATCTATCTGAGATATACAGTATACAAGTATGTAAGTGGATAAAGGATATGTTCTAGAATGCTTTTTATTCAATTTTCATGTTTTAACTTTGTCTTGTAGGACTTGAACCAGCGCGCCCTAACCTCCTCCTTGGGTTAGTGATTTGCCAGAAGGACAAAAAGCGTGCTGGAGCCTCCTTGGAGACTGAGGAGAAGCGTTCCAAGACCCAAATCAGAGACCTAGATGACACTGGCCTTCCAAAACCGACCACCACCATCAAAGCTGAAGTCAAAGCAGAGAAAGCCTTGCGGTACACCCAGGATCTTCCCTACAGCACAACCCCCCCAGGTACACCTCCCCCTCTCAGCTCCTCAGAGACCTCCACCTCCATGGCAGCCTTATCAGTGCTGTCCTTTCTGTCCTCTGTCAAAGCCCCTGCTACAGGCAAAGAGTCACCTGCCTCAAGCTCTGCTGCCAATGCCACTCCACTTCAGACCATCCTGAAGACTTTGTTTGGGAACAAAAAGCATGACTCTGAGGCCTCCATGTCTCCCTCAGAGCATGGTGCTGTTGACGTCTCAGCCGTCCCTGCTACTCTGCTAGATCCCATTGTTCAGCAATTTGGACAGATTTCTAAGGAGACGCAGGTGGAGGAAGATGAGGATGACAGACCATACGACCCAGAGGAGGAATATGACCCAGGCATGGGCTACGGAGCACCCCAGAAGTCTGTTAAAGAACCTGAGGTCATCAAGCAGTCAGAGGCTACGGATGTGGATGATGTGGCCTATGACCCGGAGGATGACACCATCTTTGAGGAGGTCAGGACTGAGGTCCCTGGAAAAGCCAAGGCCACCGGGGGTCTGACCAAACAGCAGAAAATGGTGGAGGATCTCAACAAACAAATTGAGGAGCAGAAACGGCAGCTGGAGGAGCAGGAGGAATCCATCCGCGAAAAGAAGTCAACCACAGGCACATCAGCTGCCTCGTTCTCAGTCACAGACGGCTTGATCTCACAGCCATCCCAACTGGCTAACAGTTGTCTCCTGCAGCTGGGCAAAAAAGTTGAAGAGTTAGTCAAATCCTCTGCTGCCGCTCCTTTGATTAACCAGAGAAGGGACCCAAGGCAGAGTAGGGATCCCAGGAGGCTAACCTCAGACTCAATAGAAAAAGAGGAGACACCACCTGCCAAAGACACCACGCCACCACCACAGACTGATGTCCAAGAACCAGAAACACCACTGCCGCAAGAAGAGGTTATAACAGATTCTCTTCCCTTTCTGGAATCAGACACAACTGAGGTTTCCATTCCCCTGTTAGGTGAGCATGTAGAACCTGCTATGGAGGTAAATTACATGGAGGAACAAACTGTTGAATCTGAGGAAGTCGACCCAACCAAGAGTGACTTGGACAAATACAGTATTTGGCCAAATGCAGACAGCATTTTAAAAACAGGGGAGATCTCTAATTTTGAGCAGAACCGTCAAGAGTCTACCTCTGGCTACTTCAATATGTCCACAAACAACTCCTCCTTAGCTTCACCTACAATTCCTGTACTGTCTCAGAATGTCACCCAGGATAGCTCCACCCTGGTGGACACTCAATCCTCCCACATGTCACATATGGGAACATCAAGCTACATGGACTATGGAGCTCCTCCTGACATTCTCCCAACAACCACCTTCCCACCCCAACTTGGACCCCTACCAATGCAGGGTCCACCCCCAATGCTCGGGCCACCACCCATGTCAGTTCCCCCACCCATGCAGAGTATTCCTTCCTTGTCAGGCCCTCTACCAATGCAGAGACCACCTCCACCCATGCAGGTTCCTCCACCCATGCAAGTGGAGAGCAACCAGTCTCCGTACTCCCAGTATGGGCCGCCTCCTGCTGCTTATCCTCCATATCAGAACCAATGGGGAGGCTCTCAGCAGCAGTATGAAGCATCCCCTGGTCCTCCACCCCAGACCATGATGCCTCCCAGGGGACCCCCTCCATTCCAGCCGATGGGCCCGAGAGCTCCACCTCCCCAGATGTTCAATGTCCCCATGGGCTCCATGCCTCCCCAGCACATGGGGCAGCAAGGCCCCCCTCCAGGCCAGTTCATGGAGGGCCATGGCCTTCCCCCACCTAATTTTGATGGGCAAAACGGTTTAGCTCCACCAAGGATCAGTGGACCCCCTCCTCCATTCAACTTCCCTGGACCCAGAGCCCCTCCTCCCTTCACAGGGCCTCCCCCAGGCCACTTTGACAACAGAGGACCTCCTCCATCCCACTTCCCCGGGCCCAGAGGTCCGCCTTCTCATTTTGTGGATCATGGGTCCCAAGCCCACATGATTGACCCACTAAGAGGCCCTGTAGATCAGTACAACAATGTCAGTGTTGGGTCCTACCAACAGGGCATGGACCATCACCAGGGTCAGACCCCTCCACACATGTACAAAGACAACCAGGCTCCCCCACCAGGCCCCTCTTACAGAGGACCTCCACACAACCAGTATGATGGGCGGAGAGGCCTGCCTCCCAGTGGAGATATGGGTGGACAGCGCTTCCATCCACCTAACCAGTTTCGGGGCTCTATAGCACCCTCCCCACCACCACACAGGGGGTCATATGATGACCAGAGACCCCCTCAGGACCACCGTGGGGCCCCACCACAGCATTTCGGAGGACCTGACCAGTATCGCCTTGACAGTCCAGGGGACTTAAGACCAGTTCGCCACAGTGGGCCTCTGCTCCCGACCCCACCAGAGGGCCCCATACCTCTACCAAACCGCATGGGGGGTCACAGCCCAGAGTCCCACAGGGATGACCACTGGCGACGACACTCGCCTGATATGAGGAGAAGGAGCAGCTCCACCAGAGAGGGCTCAGAACCTTGCGGTGGAGAGCGGCCCAGTCGGTTTGAGGGGGGCCACAGAGACCGAGAGCCAATCCCTGGCTCCTCTCGGTTGTCTGAGGAGAGGCAAAGGGATCTGTCCGAGGACCGCAGGAGGGAGCGGGACAGAGATGGGCCCCATGGAGCCAGGACATGGGACAGGGGCCAGGGCAAGCGCTGGAGCCGGGAGAGAGAGTGGGACAGAGGCAGGGAGAGAGACCGCGGAGAGAGGGAACGAAGCCGTGAGAGGGAGCGCAGCAGAGGGAGGGAGGGAGAGCGACATGGGGAACCAGAGGGTGACAAACGCAGGGTGACGGAGGGAGACAGACATAGGGTTCCAGAAGGAGACAAACACAGGGTGCCGCAGGGAGACAGACATAAGGTGCCGGAGGGAGACAGACATAAGGTGCCGGAGGGAGACAGACATAGGGTGCCGGAGGGAGACAGACATAGGGTGCCGGAGGGAGACAGACATAGGGTGCCGGAGGGAGACAGACATAGGGTGCCCGACATAAGGTGCCGGAGGGAGACCGACATAAGGTGCCGGAGGGAGACCGACATAAGGTGCCGGAGGGAGACCGACATAAGGTGCCGGAGGGAGACCGACATAGGGTGCCGGAGGGAGACCGACATAGGGTGCCGGAGGGAGACAGGCATAGAGTTCCGGAGGGAGACAGACACAGGGTTCCAGAGGGAGACAGGAGGAGGGACAGGGAGAGAGACCGTGACCGAGAAAGGGACAGGGGCAGGGAGAAAGAGCCTGACAGGAGAGACTACGAACGAGACAGAGCCAGGATCAGAGACCGGGAGAGAGACCACGACAGAGACAGGAGAAGGTCCAGGAGCAGAGACCGGGACCGAGGCAAGGAAAGAGAATCTGACAGGCGAGACAACGACCGAGACAGAGCACGAGATCGGGACAGGGATAGAGAGAGGGACAAAGATCGAGACCGCCGGGACAGGAGCAAGAGTAAAGAAAAGAGAGAAGACAAAAAAGAAACAAATAAATCTGATGTCCCAAAGGAGAGCGATAAACCTGCAGAGGTGGAAACTGATAAAAACACATCGTAATGTCTTACTTTTGAGGACTTTTCACTGTAGTAAATAAATCACCCTGTAACTTTTACTTTCAGCACCATAACTAAATGTAAATAGACATTATTGGGAAGGTTTTTCTACATGACAAATGATTTGATGGTACAATATTTTTGCCACTTCATATTTTATGAATGTTATCACATTTGAAACTAATATTAAGGTCATTTAAGTTCATCTGACTGTATGATACCATGTCATTTACATACATTTACCTTTCTCATGTCAAAGTACCTTTTCTAAGAATCACATGAAAGTAACTGATTAACTCCCTGACCTTTAATGTAAATATGAATGTATTTGTGTATATACTGGTATGTTTTTAATCACATTTTTCTAAGTAGAGAAATTATAAGCCATACATCTGGAATGGATAATGTGAGAATTTAGGAAACATTGATTGCTATAGTCTGAAGCCATTGGACAGTATGTGCTTGTATATTCAGAAGTTAAGAACTGAATGGATGTATCTATAGTATTGCTAATTACAGTTGACAGTAATTTTGTTTAAACTTGGCCAATTAAACCTACTTTATGGCAATCTTTGTCATTAATGGATTCTGTCTTTCCATTACATCTCAGACTAATAAAATATAATGTTCAGAGACTGTAACAAACACCACATAGACTCTGTTTATCTATTCTTTATTAAAATCACATTTTTGTCATATTAATGCAAATCATTAGGCACCCCTGGTGGTACATATGGTTAGGCACTAAAGGCATTTTAACTATTTTAAGCAGTAGAAAGTATTTTGAAATACCTTTTGAGGCAAGCATAATCATTCAAAGCTGAACATTTACCCAAAAATCAAAATAACAAATTCCCAAAACCAAAAATATGCTATTACAAAATAAATCACTAATATTAAAATCATTGTGGGTTTGAAAACAGTAATTAATAGTATAACATTTGTATTGTTTTGAAAAATGTGGATAACAACCCACTGATATATTATACATGTGATTAGAAATCAGATGTAATAAATTGATTAACTTTAAAATGTGTTCATATGAATGGAAATTATAAGAATACATGGCATACTTAAAATGTTCCTTTATTAGTGCAGGACATGGCTGAATACTCTAATCAATCTTCACTATTGCTTCAAACACTCAATGTGGTATCTTAATTTTCCTTTGCTGGGCTCGGCAGTACCTCTTCAGTAGGTTTCTTATTCGATGAACTATCACTGAATGTGCTAATATTGCCCTCTGAAACTTTAGTGCATGGTTCGTTTTCTAAATGGTTACCTGCAGCTCCCTTATTCTCCCCATCACCATCATATTTGCTGTCAGTGTTTCCCTCAAACTCCACTGTCCCTCTCTGGTTGCGCATCTGTACTCTCATGACCATTGGCGTTAGTCATTCCCTCTGAAACATCATTGATTGGTTCACTCTCTGCAGCTCCATTATTTTTGCCAGCAGCAGTGTTAGTCTTTCCCACCATAGCGCCACTGCCACTCTCTGCTTTCTTATCTGTAGCTACCACACTCTTATGATCATTGGCATTAGTCTTTCCTTCCAAAACAATACTGCTTGGTTCACTCTCTGCTTTCTTATCTGTAGCTACCACACTCTTATGATCATTGGCATTAGTCTTTCCTTCCAAAACAATACTGCTTGGTTCACTCTCTGCTTTCTTATCTGTAGCTACCACACTCTTATGATCATTGGCATTAGTCTTTCCTTCCAAAACAATACTGCTTGGTTCACTCTCTGCTTTCTTATCTGTAGCTACCACACTCTTGTGATCATTGGCATTAGTCTTTCCTTCCAAAACAATACTGCTTGGTTCACTCTCTGCTTTCTTATCTGTAGCTACCACACTCTTATGATCATTGGCATTAGTCTTTCCTTCCAAAACAATACTGCTTGGTTCACTCTCTGCTTTCTTATCTGTAGCTACCACACTCTTATTATCATTGGCATTAGTCTTTCCTTCCAAAACAATACTGCTTGGTTCACTCTCTGCTTTCTTATCTGTAGCTACCACACTCTTATGATCATTGGCATTAGTCTTTCCTTCCAAAACAATACTGCTTGGTTCACTCTCTGCTTTCTTATCTGTAGCTACCACACTCTTATGATCATTGGCATTAGTCTTTCCTTCCAAAACAATACTGCTTGGTTCACTATCTGCTCGCTTATCCGCAGCAACCTTGTTTTTTGTTACATCATGATCAGTATTAGTCTTTCCCTCTGAAACTCTGCTACGTTTGTGAAGTTTATGCTCTGTTGGCTTATCTGCAGCTCTCTTTCTCTGATCATCAGTAATTCTCTCTGAATCTTCACTGCTAGGTCGACAATCTGATCGCTTCGGAGAATCAGTGGTGGGGTGCTGACTAGGGTAGGGCGTAGTTATAGAGCTACCACTTTCAGAAGCTCCATAACTGGATTGAGCAGTATCGTTTTGCCTCACTGGTAGATCCTCATGGGATGAATCAGCATTGGTGTTTTGATTCCTTCCACCAGTAGTCTTTGAGCCCTGACTGGTCCCTTTGTTTCTCTGAGTGCAACTGGTCGACAGATCACACACGTTATCATGAGTCAAACGTGCATCGTTTGGCAACCCCAATCGCATTAAGTCACTAACCTCTCCTGCCATTCCACTCCAATCCATTGGCTTATCCTTGTTAACGTCGTGAGAGACAGACTGATAACTGGCAGTGTTGTCATCAATGGCAACCAGTTTCAGATCAATTGGGTTTTTATCATCTGGGAATGTCTCTTCACTAAATATACTCTGGATCGTCTTGGGGCACCACACAAACTCATGTTTCGGCTCATAGTGCGCGTAGGCATACTTAACTAAATTCCTGCGCTTTTGCTTATCAATGACAGCGAATATGAAGTAGTTGAGCGCACTTTCCTTCACATTGTACAGCTTGCCTTTGACAAGAGTCTGCTCTAGGAAGAAGCGGACCAGTGGGGCCTGGTAGTGGGGGAACCCCAGAGTGCCCAGGCACTTCAGGATGCGGGTGATGCGCAGGTTGTTGTGTGTGTTTCTGCCAGGACCAAAAACACAAGGGTACTGTTAACCTCAAAAGCACTGTTATTCTCAGAAGTTTAATTTGAAAACTGAAATCTTAGCTATTATGTATTGCAATCACTATAAAATAATAACTGTTAAATGACCAAATGAAGAAATTGCTAACCTTTCCAGGTTGTCAAATCTCTCACGCCAGTTGTTTGCACGTTTCACTTCCCCTGTTATGTCATTTGACAGCTCTATGCCGTAGAAGTCCAGCATGAGCTTGTAGGACGTGACCAGCCTCTGCTTTGCTGTGCCATCTTCACGGAAAGCCTGAGGAGGAAGCAGATTGTCATTCAGAACAATTATGAACACATATTTTCATTCATTTCCAGATACTGTATGTGGCGCAGTGGTCTAAGGCACTGCATCGCAGTGCTAACTGTGCCACTAGAGATCCTGGTTCGAATCCAGGCTCTGTCGCAGCCGGCCGCGACCGGGAGACTCATGGGCGGCGCACAATTGGTCCAGGGTAGGGGAGGGAATGGCCGGCAGGGATGTAGCTCAGTTGATAGAGCATGGCGTTTGCAACGCCAGGGTTGTGGGTTCGATTCCCACGGGGGGCCAGTATAAAAAAATATGTATTCACTAACTGTAAGTCGCTCTCGATAAGAGCGTCTGCTAAATGACTAAAATGTAAATGTAAATATGCAAATGCAGTATGCAGAGAACACTTTCCTTGCTCAAAGAAACTACTAGATGTACCTTAATTTCCTTCTTGGTGAGTTCCTTGGCTTGATAATTCATTCCTGGTTCTTGAAGAGGGAACAACCTAAATAAAATGTTTGTGTATTAAACAAACATTTTAAACAATTGTATTATAACACCTAATTATAAAAAATTAAAATAAACGTATAAATGTAAAGGAAACTGACCATTGGATGTATGAGTGAACTTCTTCCAGTTTTGAATATTTCCTGTGCCATTTATTGTGAAAGTCCTCAATGAAGACACCTAATCAGAGCAAAGGTTACAGTTAAAAATGTCCAAGTCTTGTCAAATCAAAACTGCGCTGAAAGAAACAGTAAATAGATTACCATCAGGGGAGGAGGGTATGTGTCCACGGTAGAACTGTAAATTAGGCATATCATCCTGGGGGAAAGCAATGCAGATTCAGAAATGGGGATATTTGAGAGAGCTGTATCAAAACAGTACAATAATTACAGAGGAATTGGCCAGTAAAATCATCATGTTTCTCCATGTATTACATAAAGGGATGAGGACTTGCTTACTTGTTGTTGCCCGCCAAAGTACAAGTTTGATCTTTGCTCCTGTGGAAACAAGAACATAGTGCTAAAGACTATGTACAAGCTATTGACTGATTGATTGTCAGCAGCAGTAACATACTATGATTGAGGTGGATATATTTTATAGCATAAAGTGTGTAATATTGTGTGGAGAGAATAATGACTTACTGGATAATCACGCCTGTACTTTTGCATATCCCTTGCTGCACTTCTGAATCTCTTAAACTTCTTTGACTGAAAACACATTCACTCCATCAGTTCACAAAATGGCAGATACTGGAAACACCTGACCTGAACAATACTGATAGGCCCATGTCTGAGCTATGTAAAGTAAAACAAACTTGGAGGGAAACTTTTACTAGCTGAATAGGCCGGCTAGTATTCAACTTGGCTACTGACGGGCCTAGCATACTTTTTTAGTCATATCCATTTTATGTATCTGGAAGTTATTAGATAACATACACAGACATAATAAAAACATCAGTATTCTTAAACCCCTGACTAAAGCTTTGAATGGTGAGCAATAGCTTTACACTACTCATCAATATGAGACCCAATGTTGTACAACTGCAATAATGGTTAAATAAATATTTAGAAAGGTTGTCCCAAAACCCTGTCTCTCAATGTATCAGTACATAAAGTATAAGAACATAGCATTTACATGTTGTGACCAACTGGTGTACCCGCTCCTGAGGAAATACAACAGTGAGCATGTGGTACAAAGGACAGTAGTAATTCATAGGTCTGAAAATTCTCTGCAGATGTGGGCATATACAGTGCCTTCAGAAAGTATTCATACCCCTTGACTAATTCCACATTCTGTTGTGTTACAGCGTGAATTCAAAATGGTTTACATTTATTTTTTTCCACCTATCTACACACAATACCCCATAATGACAAAGTAAAAACATGTTTTTACAAATGTTTGCTAATTTATTGAAAATGAAATACAGACATACAGTGGCTTGTGAAACTATTCACCCCCCTTGGCATTTTTCCTATTTTGTTGCCTTACAACCTCAAATTAAAATGGATTTTTGGGGGGTTTGTATAATTTGATTTACACAACATGCATACCACTTTGAAGATCCAAAAATATTTGTTTATTGTGAAACAAGAAATAAGACATAGAGCCACAGCCAGCAATTACAGCTGCAAGTCTCTTGGGGTATGTCTCTATAAGCTTGGCACATCTAGCCACTGGGATTTAATGGTGCTCCGTGGGACGTTCAAAGTTTTGGATATTTTTTTATAACCCAACCCTGATCTGTACTTCTCCACAACTTTGTCCCTGACCTGTTGGAGAGCTCCTTGGTCTTCATGGTGCCGCTTGCTTGGTGGTGCCCCTTGCTTAGTGGTGTTGCAGACTCTGGGGCCTTTCAGAACAGGTGTATATATACACTGAGATCATGTGACAGATCATGTGACACAGATTGCACACAGGTGGACTTTATTTAACTAATTATGTGACTTCTGATTGGTTGCACCAGATCTTATTTAGGGGCTTCATAGCAAAGGGGGTGAATACATATGCACGCACCACTTTTCCGTTATTTATTTTTTTGAAACAAGTAATTTTTTGAATTTCACTTCACCAATTTGGACTATTTTGTGTATGACCATAACATGAAATCCAAATAAAAATCAATTTAAATTACAGGTTGTAATGCAACAAAATAGGAAAAACGCCAAGGGGGATTAATAATTTTGCAAGGCACTGTATCTCATTTACATAAGTATTCACACCCCTGAGTCAATACATGTTAGAATCTCCTTTGGCAGCAATTACAGCTGTGTCTTTCTGGGTAAGTCTCCAAGAGCTTTGCACACCTGGATTGATCAATATTTGGACATTGTTCTTTAAAGATTTTCAAGACGATATAAGTCAAAACTGTAACTAGGTCACTCAGGAACATTCAATGTCGTCTTGGTAAGCAACTCCAGTGTATAGTTGGCCTTGTGTTTTAGGTTATTGTCCTGCTGAAAGATTAATTTGTCTCCCAATGTCTGTTGGAAAGCAGAGTGAACCAGGTTTTCCTCTAGGATTTTGCCTGTGCTTAGCTCTATTCCGTTTCTTTTCATCCAAAATAAAAACTCCCTAGTCCTTGCCGATGACAAGCATACCCATAACATGATGCAGCCACCACCATGCTTGAAAATATGAAGAGTGGTACTCAGTGATGTGTTGGATTTGCCCCAAACATAAAGCTTTGTTTTCAAAACTTAGTTAATTTCTTTGCCACATTTTTTTTCCCAGCTTTACTTTCATGCAAACAGGATGCATATTTTGGAATATTTTTATTCTGTACAGGTTTCCTTCTTTTCACTATGTGTCATTTAGGTTAGTTTTGTGGAGTAACTGCAATGTTGATCCCATCCTCAATTTTCTTCTTTCACACCCATTAAACTCTGTAACTGTTTTAAATTCACCATTGGCCTCAGTGTGAAATCCCTGAGCAGTTTCCTTCCTCTCCAGAAACTGAGTTAGGAAGGATGCCCGTATCTTTGTAGTGGCTGGGTGTATTGATACACCATCCAAAGTGTAATTAATAACTTCACCATGCTCAAAGGGATTTTCAATATCTGTTATTATTTCACTTTTTTTACCCATCTACCAATATGTGCCCCTCTTTGCAAGGCATTGGAAAACCTCCCTGGTTGTTTTGGTCCAATCTGTGTTTGAAATTCACTGCTCGACTGAGGGACTTTACAGGTAATTGTATGTGTGGGATACAGAGATGAACTAGTCATTCAAAAATCATGTTAAACACCATGCAATTTGTAACTTTTTAAGCAAATGTTTACTCCTGAACTTATTTAGGCTTGGTATAACAAAGGGATTGAATACTTAATGACAAGACATTTCAGCTTTTCATTTTTCATTAATTTGTAAAACTGTCTAAAAACATAATTCCACTTTGACATTATGTGGTATTGTGTGTAGCCCAGTGACACAAAATCTACATTTAATCTATTTTAACTTCAGGCTGTAACACAACAAAATGTGGAAAAAGACAAGGGGTGTGAATACTTTCTGAATACGCTGTATGAGCGAGCACATGTATGAGCCATTGAAGCATTTTATATAATAGATTTTTATCTGAACATTCTGAAAGATTGAGTTATCAACATTCTGTTAACATTATTTTACATTGGGGAATTTTGTTTTGAATTTAAATTAAATATGCCAGTTGTATTTTATGGTGCCGATAAGAGACTTTTGATGATAGGCTACAGCAGGGTTCTTCAATTCCGGTCATGGAGGGCCGAAACACTTCTGTTTTTTATTTCTACCTGGTAGTTAATTGCACTCACCTGGTGTCCCAGGTCTGAATTAGCCCCTGATTTAGAAGGAGAGGATGAAAAACAGAGGTGTTTCGGCCCTTCAGGACCGGAATTGAAGAACCCCTGGGCTACAGTATTATGAAACTCATCTGCTGAGAGACCTCACAAAAAACATTATCAGGGCCCAAGGGCCTGCACAGTGCATACGTACATGTTGGGTCCTTCTTTCGCTTGTTTCTTCGTTTGGATGATCCTCCCATGTCGAGTCGTACATGCAGTAGTACTCATCGGTGTCTTCAACATCAAATGACCTGAGAACCGGAACCTCCACTTTAACACTTAAAATAGATTCTGGACTCTCCACTTCACCTCTGGGAAGGGAATCTGGACTAGGATCACTTGGCATGATTAATCTCCAGAGGCGTTTCAGCCAAACCCAACAATTTGGTATGAACAACTTCCAGCGTAGGCCCATGTAGGCGAGAACTGGAACCAGTAATAAAGTGCATTTGTGCCTAAAGCGTTCAATCCCTGGAAACATCCTAGACGTGTCGTCTCAATTTAGTAGACAATTTTAGTGCTGCTCGCAGCCCTGTTCCTATTATCATTAGAAGCCCACTAATTGCGGAGCGGCACACAATATAATGATGTAGGCCTATACAAAATGTTTCAAGGTAACAAAGATTCGTTTTATGATGAACTAAATGACGAGAGCCACCACTATCTTGCATTCGGATTCGAATAATATTTTCACTTTCGTTTCTTCCTTTTTCACTAGTTTCTATACCCATCGTAACACAGTTTGTAAACCCAGAGGCGCAACATCGCGAGACTTCCGGGAACGCTTGCGAAACAGACCAAGCAGACCAGGCCGGGGTTTGAATGAGAAGTCAATGAGAATCGAAAAATGATTCCTTAGTTGTTAATTTTCTCGAAATCTAAAGGCATAACGTAGATTTGAGCTAATGGGTCCGTCTAATTTTTGTCCAATTCATATTTCCATTCAGATGACAAGATAAAAAACGAGTAGAAAAGGTCATTCCTCCTTTATTTTATTTGAATCTGAAATTAAACACATATACGGTTTTGTTTTTATTGTCTAAAGGAAATATTAAATAACGAGAAACTGAATAATTATTTGATTATTCAAATGTTGTGATTTTAATTAACGGTTCTGGTTCGACCCGTGCACTATATGTTTTGGTCAATGAATAATCGTGGTATCTTGACAACACAGAAAACAATAAATGGGTCTTTCTTCATGTTTTTGATCTGCATATGTAATCGAATAAACAGATAAATGTTATTTATTAAAAAAATTAAAGTATCATTCCAATGATTTGATGATTGACAGTCCACTGTAGTGGGTCATGTGACCAGTCCTGAGTCCAAATTGGTCTAGGTCAGTGAGACAGTCACTTTTACAACCTTAACGACTAACCTGTAGCCTACATAATTGTGGATAGGCTCTATAACCCTCAAACTCAACTCTGGACCTCGAAGCCAGTTCCACTGCATTTTTTCATTGTTCCGCTGTAATGAGGGACTGATTTAGACCTGAGACACCAGGTGTGTGCAATCAATTATCAGGTAGAACAGAAAACCAGCAGGCTCCGGACCTCGTAGGTTAAGAGTTAAGTACCCCTGCTCTATAACATGCCACCGATCACGACAAGCTTCAGTGCCTATGAGAATAGACAAAATAACCACTTGGAGAGTCAGCCTTAACCACATGGGCAGTCAGTCCGGTGAAATTCCCGCATCATGACCAATGATCTATACAGTGGTCATGACCAATGGAGAACAGTTTTTAGTTTTGCCTATGTCAGGATCTGTAAGGGTTGGTGTGAGGTGTGACCCAGGAGCGGTGTAGATAGACAGTAGGCAGAGATGGTGAAACCAGGATCTTTACTGGTGGTCCCAAAACCAGGATACAAAATAACGGACTTGTCGCGATAAAATAGAAGAGCAAATTGGTCTCCAAAAACAGGCTGACAGCAAACATACAAAATACTACTGAAAACAACAATGAAACAGGGAGAACACTTCTCAAGTACCTGAACATACGTCTCACGATCAGACACTGATTGGTACTGTTTGGCATCGAGAAACTAGCAGAGAAAAACAGAGCAAGGGAAGTGAGGGCATACAGACACAGGTGACACCAATAGGGTAATGATTCGTCCAGACTGTGAGTGAGGAGGTGCCTAAGGTTGTTGGAGGATGACACCTAGTGGGTCGCTCCGGAACTGCGACCCCCTCCTGTAACAAGGATCTGGCCGTTTGTGATGAGCCTATAAGGTACATCAATAATAAGGTATGATATATTTTTTTTAAGAGCTCTGTCCACGGACCTATATCATATGACACGTCCTTTGAAACTCTCTGATTCGCAACCGTGGGTAAAGACCAGGGCCCGGTTTCCCAAAAACATTTTGGTTCATCATTAGAACCATAGGATCGTTATTAACGTGGCTCTTGAAACCCTTGCACATCTACGACTGATACAGACCACTCATAGAGCAGCCAAAGTGCACCATTGGGCTTATTTTCTGCCTTACCTCACAATATATAATTCTAAACCCATTTATAAGAGTTTTGTGTAAATGGGCATGATCATACAATGATACATGTTTCATTTGGGTAATGTATAGGACCAAATGTAATATTTTAAATATGTATTTGTAAAATATATATATATATATTTTGTACCGGATAAGATTCAATAAGATTCAAGCTGAATCTTATCCGGTACAAATTGGAAACACCTGGATCACCAGAAACGCCAAGCCATTGTCCGATGTCAGCAGAACAACAATAATACAGTGGGGAGAACAAGTATTTGATACACTGCCGATTTTGCAGGTTTTCCTACTTACAAAGCATGTAGAGGTCTGTCATTTTTATCATAGGTACACTTCAACTGTGAGAGACGGAATCTGAAACAAAAATCCAGAAAATCACATTGAATGATTTTTAAGTAATTAATTTGCATTTTATTGCATGACATAAGTATTTGATACATCAGAAAACCAGAACTTAATATTTGGTACAGAAACCTTTGTTTGCAATTACAGAGATCATACGTTTCCTGTAGGTCTTGACCAGGTTTGCACTCACTGCAGCAGGGATTTTGGCCCACTCCTCCATACAGACCTTCTCCACATCCTTCAGGTTTCGGGGCTGTCGCTGGGCAATACGGACTTTCAGCTCCCTCCAAAGATTTTCTATTGGGTTCAGGTCTGGAGACTGGCTAGGCCACTCCAGGACCTTGAGATGCTTCTTACGGAGCCACTCCTTAGTTGCCCTGGCTGTGTGTTTCGGGTCGTTGTCATGCTGGAAGACCCAGCCACGACCCATCTTCAATGCTCTTACTGAGGGAAGGAGGTTGTTGGCCAAGATCTCGCGATACATGGCCCCATCCATCCTCCCCTCAATACGGTGTAGTCGTCCTGTCCCCTTTGCAGAAAAGCATCCCCAAAGAATGATGTTTCCACCTCCATGCTTCACGGTTGGGATGGTGTTCTTGGGGTTGTACTCATCCTTCTTCTTCCTCCAAACACGGCGAGTGGAGTTTAGACCAAAAAGCTCTATCAGACCACATGACCTTCTCCCATTCCTCCTCTGGATCATCCAGATGGTCATTGGCAAACTTCAGACGGGCCTGGACATGTGCTGGCTTGAGCAGGGGGACCTTGCGTGCGCTGCAGGATTTTAATCCATGACGGCGTAGTGTGTTACTAATGGTTTTCTTTGAGACTGTGGTCCCAGCTCTCTTCAGGTCATTGACCAGGTCCTGCCGTGTAGTTCTGGGCTGATCCCTCACCTTCCTCATGATCATTGATGCCCCACGAGGTGAGATCTTGCATGGAGCCCCAGACCGAGGGTGATTGACCGTCATCTTGAACTTCTTCCATTTTCTAATAATTGCGCCAACAATTGTTGCCTTCTCACCAAGCTGCTTGCCTATTGTCCTGTAGCCCATCCCAGCCTTGTGCATGTCTACATTTTTATCCCTGATGTCCTTACACAGCTCTCTGGTCTTGGCCATTGTGGAGAGGTTGGAGTCTGTTTGATTGAGTGTGTGGACAGGTGTCTTTTATACAGGTAACGAGTTCAAACAGGTGCAGTTAATACAGGTAATGAGTGGAGAACAGGAGGGCTTCTTAAAGAAAAACTAACAGGTCTGTGAGAGCCGGAATTCTTACTGGTTGGTAGGTGGTCAAATACTTATGTCATGCAATAAAATGCTAATTAATTACTTTAAAATCATACAATGTGATTTTCTGGATTTTTGTTTTAGATTCCGACTCTCACAGTTGAAGTGTACCTATGATAAAAATTACAGACCTCTACATGCTTTGTAAGTAGGAAAACCTGCAAAATCGGCAGTGTATCAAATACTTGTTCTCCTCACTGTATAGCATATGGCTGCTATTCAGCAGATTGTTGCTCTGTAACATAACCGGCGGCCCCGGCCACGAGAGGAGCTACTCAGACTGCTCGACCTTGTCTCGCTCAATCAGCGGACCAACCCTCTGCAACTTTGCGCTGCGTTGCAGCTTCTAACAGCCTTGTGCTTTTATGCAGTGGGGAGTTTTCTCCAGGTCCTTGGGGATGGACACGTCCTCAGATTTGTTTTAATTTTTATGAAAAAACAAAATGTGTGCAGTGGAGGGTCAGGTAGGCTACTGTATATAGCTGTGGGCTAATATCTGAGACAGATATATATTTTATTAATTTATTTGTCAGGGACAATGCACAACAGAAACAAAGGCTACGTCTCAGAGCACTGAGAAAACATGTGTCGCAACAGATTTAGCTAATAGCTAATTTCCATCTGTAATCCCTAAAACATCTAGACATGGAAACATTATATACAAAACAGAAACACATTATACAGTAAAACAAAACAAAAAAACTGAGATCAGGACATAACACAGAAATCAAAACATTGTGGTGCAGTGTGCTAAATCACTGTGGAGGAAAGAAGACAACCGGGGTTCAAATCTTGAAATCAAATCAACATTACATGACGAAAATGGTTAGTTTGTAGATTATGGTGTTATTTATTTTCATTCATAAAAATTTGTCAGCGAAATGTATAGGCCTAGCCTACATTTCACATAAAACGTGGGCTATTAAAGGATCTGCAGTGGCAGAGCAGAGCTGTTGTGAAGGAAGTTGTCAAGGAAGTGAGTTTGTGTTTATACTGGACCTCCCGCTCCTACCTACCGTCAACAAATCATGTTAATGGGGAGCTATACTGAGTATCCACATTGTTGGAAAATTTGGGCGGCGCACGGCGATGTGGTGCAGAGCTCAATTTGGCCTCTGCATGCCTCCAGAGGCTCCGCGATTGCGTCACACCATCCATAAGGCCCATCCGACCACATATTCGGATCAAGCATAAATTGGCTTTTAATGGTGTTTGGTTATGACGCAGGCTGCATCGATTTCAGCACCAGGGAACTGGACAGCTCCCCCAACGGAATCGTGAAAAAACGAACATGGCCCAAACGACAACGCTCTTACAGGTTCACTCAACATGCTTGTTTGGGAAACACTTAAAAAGTTTAATCATAAATAACGATGCATCTGGTACGACCATAAAATGCTTAAAGCGGCAATCAGCAGTAGCAACAATAACAAAGCGGGCTCCCCACCCCATGTTCGGTAAAAAGCTGAGGGATGGGGCTGGAGAAATGATATCACTCTCAAATTAATAAACAGAGCTATGGATGCCAGGACCATCCATTATATAAA